GGGGGGGGGGGGGGGGGGGGGGGGGGGGGGGGGGGGGGGGGGGGGGGAGAGAGAAGGGGAAACCTGGCCAGTATGTCGTGGCTCCAAGTGCTGCGTTGGGCACTGGCAGGGCGCGAACGAGAGGAGCACGCTCGTGGTCCCACTCATTCTGGCTTCTCGTCTCAATCTCCTCCGAAATCCTATGCAGCCTCACCCGCCGATCGCTTGACCTGGCCGCCGACCCTAACGAGAGAACGAGCGACCGGCCAAAAAGTAACCTCGAGCCTCGCATCTGCTATTCCATCCCTCCTCGCACTGCTGCTTGACGCACCCCCCGGTCCGTCCTGGATTCTCGCCGGGATCGTTCCCACTGCCTTTCTTCGTGAGTTTCTTGGCCCCGGGCGCGGGTAATGAGGGGGCGAGGGAGACGTCGGCCACCATAGAGGAAGCTGAACTCTCTTGAACAACGTAATGTAATGTGACACACAAACTAATTCCCTTCCGCGTAGGAACTCCAACGGAAAAAGCCAATCAGCGTTCCCTTTCTCCTATCCCTCATTCCCTATCCTCTCACCTTGACCGCGACGCCTGAGGCGCACAGCATAAGATTTCGGACTGCCGCCGCGGCGGTAACGCGCGGCGATTATCGCGATGCTGCTGATCACTTGCGGGCAGCCTATAATGAGATGTCTTCCTCTTCGAAGATGCGCAGCTTCTACCTTTACAGCTTCACAATGCTGATCGTCTGGGATAAAATTTCGTATCCAAGCGTCGGCGATCTTGCCTTCATGCGTCGCATCCTCCAGAGCCACGTGGAACGGCCACTGCATCGCGCCTACTGCGGTTTTGCGCTTGGGATTGTGATGTACGACACCCTACCGCCGCGCCATCGCTATAGCTGAATTGGCAAGCGGCAGATATAGAATTGTGTCGTCCCATTCGGCCCATCGGCACCTGGCGATGAGGCATATAAGCAACGCCTGACCGACACCATCCTCGAGCGCGCCTTTCTTGTGCGCGGATGCGGCTGCGGCAATTGCGGAACCACGGTCGGCGCCTTAAAATACTGCGGTTGCTGCAAAGGCGTCGCATACTGCTTCGGGCCTGCCAGAAGGGCGCCTGGTCGCGCCATCGTGCATCTTGCCGACCCCCCGGCACATTCGTCGTCGGCGATCTCGTCAGCCTCTCTGCCGTGAGCGCTGCAGAGGGCCGCTCCGACTTCATCGTCCTCGAGATACGCGGTCCGGAGCCTGGAGATCGCTGGCGCCTGGGGCGGATTGGCGAAGACAAGGGCGCGAACGACCTGATCGTCGGAACTGGTTCGATTGTATTGTCTGTGTCGTGCAATGAACGCGACCAGCTGGTGCAGGAATCGGTCCCTTGAAGATGAGCAGATTTGGATGGTGGTCCGGGGTAATCTCGTCTGTGTCTTGCCTACACGCCCCTCCCCTCCTCCTCCCTCCACGTCTTCCTAGAACCCCCCCCCCCTTCCTAGAACCCCCCCCCCCCCCTTTGTAACCTTACGAAGCTGCTTACCCTTTTTGCGTGTGAGGAGGCGATTCGGGACTTTTGTCTGAAGGGGAGTTGCAGTGGTGTGGCAGAAACGCAAAATACTCTTTTTTTCCAGTTTTGTTTTGACGCCCACCGTCAAGCAGCAAGTCGTTGGTGCTGAAAGGTTGCGGGCCTCACCGGATTCGGGGAGGTCCCCGTTCCCCCTATGCCGCAAGCAGTTCGCTCCTGCTCGAACCGATTGTCAATGAATTGGGAAACACGTTTAAATCGGCCCGTCGGCGCCCCTGTTCCTCGACAGTCTCGCTCTTCGACCGCTGCCTATTCATCTTCGGCTACAGATAGGGCTGGGTCCCTTCAAAGGTGGCATCTTCGAAACAGAAGAACTTGTCAAAATCAAAAATCAAAAAAAATCAAAAAAAAAAAAATCAAAAAAAACAACTGAAAAAACGATCACCCAGTCAAGACAAAGTGCGTCCCGAATCCCAACAATTCTCCTGTGAAGCCAAACCTCATGAAAGGAAAAGAAAGCAAAAGCAACGCCACCCTGACCGAGTTAGGAGAGGGTACGCGATCGCGCCGTTGGATCGGCCGTGGGGTTGGGCCTCTTCAGCGAGCTTTTCGAGATCAACTTTTATCCCAGAGTGAATGTACGAGCGATGCTTGATAAAAAATCTCAACGCCCTTAGGGACCCGTTCCTCCGTGCACTGCTCACCGCTGCTTGGCCTGCTCTTATTCTTGTCGAAAGTTCGCTTCTACTACCTTTCCTCTTTGGTCCCCGGCGAAGGAAGGGCGAAGGAGAACGCCGGAAAACATGAACTATCTTGAGAAACGTAAGCTACGTGTGTGATGTGACGTACCAGCCAATATGTTTTCGCCGTCACTACGGCTTCCGAGGCCAACTCAATGAACAGGGTGGGAGTCGAACCAACGCCTCCGAAGGAGTCGAACCAACGCCTCCGAAGAGACCAGGACCTTAACCTGGCGCCGTAGACCAACTCGGCCATTTGTCCTAGGCAGTAATTGCAAAGGCTTTACATCCACTTACTACAACACCAAATGACTCCGCTGTTGGAAAGCGCTCCATAGCTGGGGGGAAAGACCGGAAGAAGTGGTGCCGAGCTAGAGGGACTCGTGCTCTCTAGCTTAAACAGGGCGACCGCTCTGCGAGAGAGGAGAGCGACTTGCGTGTCAAAAGAAAACACTCAATCCCACTCACTACTGTATTCAAAGGCCTTCTGTAAGTAAAAAGGGAGTGTGCCGGGCGTCACCGCTCAAACACCCTATCAAACGCTCTCCGCATGAGACTTGCGACCTCTGGCCCTGGTCCTTCAGCCCCTTGACCCCCCTCCCCCTTGGAGGTTGTTGAAGGAAACTATCAATGATAACATGGCCGCCCCGTTCCTCGGATCGTCGCGGATCAACGCGGGCCCTGTACCGCCCCCGCACCATGGACCGGAACGCATGAAAAAAAGGAAGGGCAGAACCCCCCCTCCCAACTCCACACAAAGGTTTACCAAACAAAATGAGAAAGGCCCACGCAACATCGCTGGTCCCTGCCAAAAGTGGGGAGACAGTTGCATTGACAGGATCTCTGTGGGAGTTTTTGTCGACATCGACTCCTGTTTCCGAAACAGTGCTCTCTAACGACTTTTGCGCGCGACAATCGCCTCATTTCCTTCCTGTCCCTTCGCCGTTGTACTGGAGTCTCCTGCGTGACCCGCTCCCCGCCGACCTTTTATCAGTTTTTGTTGGTCTCTCAGTCATCCTCCAAGACTTTCTTTTTTTCCGCATCGTCCCCTTCCCCCCGATCTCGATCTCCTTGGTCCTCTTCTCGCAGGTTCACTTGGACTTCAACGAGGAAGTCGAAAGAGCTTGTTGATCATTACGAGAACTGTGGCGAGGCGGTGGATGCTGTCCTTCGCGCTGACTCTTATCAGACCTTCACAAGTATGAGAACGATATGATTTCAAATGGTGGAATGGTTCTCTGGGTAGCTTCCAAACAGCCTGGAATGGGCACAGGAATTGGCCGCTTGCCAATGCCAAATGAGACCGTTGCAGACGCTTCGGAAGGGTATGCCAAAATCAAATGCGTGGAGGTAATCTTGCGAAGACCATCTTGCGTTGTTCGCTGTAGCCGATTTTAAATTCTCAAAGACGTGATGAGAGGAGCGATCGTGGGTGAGTCGGTATCTGATGTTTGGGGTGAGGATGTAAGAGGGGTGAGGGGGGCAGCGGCAATGGAGGGGAAAGGAGAAGCGAGGGCACGCCCCCCTCACTTCCTATTCAGGCATCTGTTTATTTTATGCCTTTCCAATCCAAGGCGACCAGCTTCCCGGGAGGAATCCCACGCCGGAACCAATAGGCACCAAGTCGGCTGCGAAAGCCGGAAGGTTGTCGGACATTTCTTCTCAGGATCATCACCATCCCCACGAAAGACCAAATTCGTGGGGAAGAATCGCACCCTCAATCGGCTTGTGTAGTTCGAATCCCGAGTGGAAAAGCAAACAGGACGGAGTTGAGGGTCCGAGGGACGAGGAAGGGAGGGCTGTCTCCAGGCACGGATGGGCTCACACGCAGAACCCCTGCGGCTGCGGGGTATGATGATCAGTTACAGGGCCAATATCAAGAATGGCGCTCGAAATCTTCGCTGTGCGAGAGTTCTCGTGTAGCATCGATGATGGGTGCGACATTGAAAATGGGTCCTCGATCATCTCAAGATTGAAGCGCAGGCCGAGAAAATCGTCGAGGAGCTCGCCGGTGGGCCTTTCGATGGAGTCGGAAATAACGATGGCGCGGCGATAAGCTTCGGTTGCCGATTTCACTGTAGCGACCGCGCGGCGATAGCGCGAGACGGCAGCCTGGAAGTCGCCCTGGCGCTCGAGCAAGAAGCCGAGCGTGCACCCGCAATAAGCGCGATGCAGTGGCGTCTCCGCCTCACTCTGCAGGATGCGACGCATGAAGGCGAGATCGCTGGCGATTGGGGGCGAAATTTTATGATCGCGGAATAGACTCGTGAAGCGGACAAGGAAGTCGAATCGGACCTTGGAAGAGGAAGACGACTCGCTGTAGGCCAGCCGAAAGGCGTCAGCGGTGGGGCGCCAGTCACCGTACTCGCTACCGCCTGCGCGGCGGTCAGTCGTGACGGCTTGATAGTCAGCTCCGGCGTCGCGGGCATGGCGAAAGGCCACCCCCTCCTCCCGTGCACACCTGCTTGACAGCTCGCGCTCTGTGCTTCCTTCTGGTAGGTCCGTACTCGCTATCTCTCATCATATATCTTTCTCCCGTCGCGGGCAAGGAGGGGGAGAGGTGAATGGAGACACCGGCGAGCATGAGCGGACGCAAACCCGTGTGAATAACGCAATTCAATAGAACGCAAAACTTGAATCGTTTTTGACGCCCACCCAGTTCTACAGGAAAGTCTAATCATAGGTCTGCACCTTCATTCACGACCCCCGAGCCCCTCCGTTCGCCTTGCCCACGATGCCTGAGGAGACTCACTGGGACATGGCACAGACCGGCCACACAGCAGCGCTGAACTCTGAATAGCGCACCGTTGCAGACGGGTATCGGGCGGCATACGAACACACCCGCCGACATGCAATTCTCTTCCCTTCGTGTCTTCATGAACATATTCCGCTGTCTTAGAATCTCGCCGCCAACCGCCGGCGATCTCGCCTTCACTGCGTCGCATCCTCCAAGAGCGACGCGGAGCGCCCAAAGTGGGCTTACGCTCGGTATCTTGATTAGGCGCCAAGGCGACCTCCAGGCTGCCGTAATGCGCTATCGCCGCGCGATTGCTGTAGCTGAATCGGCAAGTGAAGCTGAGCGTGACGTACTCGTCAAGTAGAGCAGGGGCGATACGCATACAGGCGAGCTCCTCGATGACTTGGTCGACGAACTGCGGAGCAATCTTGCCTTGATCGAGGAACGTCTTTCAAATCCGCTTCCATCAGCAAAAGAGGATGAGGACTTTCTCGCGAAAATGCTGGCCGGCACTCGGGCGGCGCAATGCAAGGATTGGCGCGCTAGTGCTGACGCGTATCGAGCGGCCTGTTAAGGGGCGCCTTTCTCTTTCGCAGAGCGATCCGACTGCTTCGATGCCTTCTCGACCTTATTCTGCAAAGGACGTATCTGGCCGCCCACCCCAGCCGATCTTACGTTTATACGTGGAATCCTCGAGAGCGACGTGGAACAGGTCTCTGATCGCGTCTCCTGCGGGATCTCACTTGGCCTCTTGATGTGGGCAATGGGCGACCGCAAGGCCGCCATAAACTACCATCGCTTTGCGCTCTCTATTATCGCGTCCGTTACAGGAGCTGATGGCTTCGCAACACATTTGCCTGTGGAGGATGTCTCACGCGCCGGCAAGCACCTTACCCGACGTGCCCAGAGTCTCCGTAAGGCTCTTGCCGACAAGGGAGGCCCCGTTTGCCTCGTCTCGCTCGGTCGGCTGGCACCGGGCGATGCCGCATACCAGCGGCGTTTCCGCGAGGCGATCGTTGAACGTGCCGAACACGTGCGCGGTTCGGCCTGTGATGCCTGTGGGGCTACGGCAGGTCATCTCAAGTACTGTGCACGCTGCACACGCGCTGCTTACTACTCTCGGGAGTCCCAGCAGGGCACCTGGTCGTACCACAGAGCATCATGCCGACCGCCCCGCTCATTCGCTGTGGGCGACCTCGTTCGCGTCGTTGGCTGTGAGGCGGGACGCTCCACTGGCGCTATTGTCGAGATACGAGGTCCGGCGGCGGCTGCTGATGATCGCTGGCATGTAGCCTTCATTAGTGCCAGAACGCCGTGGATGTGACTATCCCAACTGACTCAATGATCTTGGTTTTGCCGTGCAACGATCGCGACCGGTTAATGCAGGATTCGGTCGATGGGATAAGCCATGGATGATCCTGGGCAGCCTTGCGCAGAACGCTGTGCGGCCCCACCCCCCCTTCCCATCCTCAGCCAACACCCCCCCCCCCCCCC